CTGGCCGATGGTCACTTCTAATTGTATCCTGTTCGATCCAATCTCCTTGATTTTTTCAACCGAAGGTCCATTGACCAATTTTTGCGAGAGAGCAACGTTTGCTCCAAGCTGTCGAACTTTGTCACGAAAATTGCGCATAACCGACATTAAAAACTGAGCCTTGTTTTGAACACCCATGAGTTTCGACTCTTTCACCTGAAATGACTTCTGTAAAAAATTTTCTTCCCAGACTTTCTTGATGAAACTCGATTATTTCACGTAAAACTATCTATTCTAAGATAACGAACATATTTTTTATACCTCTTTGATGATGAACAATGCATGTTCGAGAGGAAGGGAGCGAAGCATTTCAATTGCACGATCGTCAAGTTCTTGCGGTGACATATCAGTTGCTTCATATAATTCAATCAGTGCTACAGCGACCTTTGGCTTCACACTCTGTGCTCTCAAGCCCTTGTAAACTTCGTTCTCAACAAATTCTGCTTCTTCAGTTTCCACTAGCAAAGAATGAGCATCTTCCGTTTCACCCTAAAATGTGTACGCTCACCATCAATACGGCAGTGCAAGACTAATCAAAAATGCAATCTCGTAAACAGCTTCTTAATCATCTGCATGATTTCCACAGATATAACTTAAAGTAATGTTGTTCTTACAAGAAACACCCTCTGAAAAATAACTTACATCTCCAGATGCTTCAACTACACCGGCTGTATCCATCTTAATATCAGAATCTTCTTCCTTCACTTCATCCCCGTTAGCTGTCGTGGCTTCTTCTTCTTCCTGCTCTTGTTCTTGTTCTTGTTCTTGCTCTTGCTCTTGCTCTTGTCCTTGCTCTTGTTCTTGTTCGTGCTCCTGATCTTGTTCTTGCTCCTGCACTTCCTCTTCCTGGGTTTCAGGCTCTTCATCCAAAGCTTCCTGAAGAAATGGAAAAAAATTAAAAGGTGTAAGAGTCGAATATTTCTCTAAACAATTTAAAGCAACTATAAAGTGTGGCCAAATCCAACAAAATTGTTTGAAAACTACATCCGATTAAATTTCAAATCAAAAACTTACATCGGCCGATGTTTCCATTTTCACTTCAGTCATGGTATGATCTTCACCTGTTTTTTCTTCTTCCTGAAAAATTATTGCCTACGAATAGCGAAAAAGATGAAATCCTGTTGCAATCGTAGTTGAACCTGGGGACAATCTTAACTAATGTTCTGAAGAAGATTGCCAGATGCGCACATTTGCATAAGAAAGTTTGACAAGCAGCGCATCAATAAGCTTTAAAATAAACAAAGTTAATAACACAAAATATTGCATGCGAAGCAGCGAACACTACTAGACACTGATTCATAAATCTTTAAGCATGCTTTTCAATTAGTACTGAAAATCCCTCAAACTCAAAGACCGACCGGAGCGATGGATAAACTGCTTTTGTCACTACCCATTTTTGCAAAGATCCCAAAGTTTCCTTGCTCAATTTTGGAACCGTATGTAGAAATACTGAAAGCAATACTTGACTAGTGGAGTAAATATCTTGTGCAACTACTACACTGGTATGCAAAGCAGCGAACTTTACCGGACGCTGATTTATAAACCTTTTGGCATGTTTAAAGATTTATGAATTAGTGTTCAGTAATCTTCGTTGCTTCGCATACCAATGTAGCGATTTTTCCCCCATTTTTATTTGGTAGCAATTTAAAAATCTATAAGCAGAAAGGAATTGAAGGCGTGATCTAGGAACCGAAGAATTCAATGATACTTTCGAAAGAGCATTTCTCGCTTCCTCGACCGCATGCGTAAAAACTTACCGCCACATTACGTTCTCGAAACATATCGGCAACTTATTATGACAAACGTGCGAAAGGGAAGACAAATACAGCAAAAAAACGCATCACCTCTGCATGGAAGTGCCAATCACATCCTAAGCTGATCGAGCAGCATTACCAAGTCTATGGATTCAAAACAAAAAATCTCGCTATTTTTAAAGTCATAAACGTTCCCAAACCCCTGTGCTCTTAAATTACAGGAAAACATGAAGGATGCGCTATAATTACATAACAATCAGAAATAACGAATTTGAAAAATATGGACAGTCGATTACGAGGTATCACCAGATGTGGGGAAAGACCGAAAGTTTGAAGATTAGAATGCTTCAACACTGACAGCTTGCTTAGAAAGTGAAACTTCAAAGCAAGCCTAAAAGTTAAATAAAAGCCAAAAATTCGAACTTGTGCAATTGTAGTGGTAATTCTTCCTTCAGTTACGTTTTCTTCTCCTGCTGCAGGCGCCATAGCTTGTTCAGCATCATCTTCTGCTGACATAACAGATGCGGCAACTTGCTGTTTTCGTGGACGACCACGAGTCCCCTTCCTCTTCATCGTTGTAAGAGATGAAAGTTACGGTTTAGAAAGCGACACACACAAAACGAATGACAGTAACAGCTTGCTGATGTAAGAAAAGCCTTTGAAAACGACGGGCTGATGCACTTTTTGAACAAATCTGGCAACCCCTGGAATAGTATAAAAGAGACGTGCGCGAAGCACATGAACGTATGCCCATTAGGTGCATGCGCGAACACTCAGAGAAAGAGTGAGTGCAGTTCACGACGCACACAACGTAACGCATATCGGAACGAAAAACACTCGATCAATGAGAACAAGAAAGAACACATTCCGGCAAGTTACTGCGAAACCTGAAATCTATGGAAACTGCCTGGAGGAATCTTTTACCTGCAAGTAGCACCAAGACGAACCACTCATGGGAACATCCACCGTACCCATGATTTGCCCAGGAACAACTCTCACCCACAACAAGAGAACATCGCCTATCCCACCCCTTACGCGAAAAAAAGTGATGAGTCACCACGCATGCGCGGCGCGTCGCCTAACTCTCTGCAACCGAAGAAGAAGTCGCGTTGTACGACTGCGGTCAGACCTCTGCGCAAATTTCCGTCTCATCTTTATTAATATTTGTTGCTCAGCTTTCAGTATATAGGTAGTATTCGATGGATTGCGTGATGCATTTTGCACTCTTCATTTCACTGTATTACTTATTCTATCTTGCTCTTATCCTAGTTTGGAAACAACTTGCTTTTGTCCTTTATTTCACAACCCTTTCGACTGATGGAAATCCTAACTAATACTCGTGGAAATTCTCACCAGTGCCTCATGCTCGATTTCCTTACCGTTTCTGCATGATCCGCTACATGTCACAATATTGGTGACTAAACTAAGTAGGAATTTGAACGCTGGAGCAATTTGCAGGGACAAATGTATGCAATAAATTCCGCATACAGAATATAAGAATATGAAGCGATACGCGAAGGAAACTTTGCGTAAAAAGAAGGGCAAGAAATTGGCAAGACATAGAGGAAAGGTCATTGTATGATCTCAACTTATTGAAAGCCAGTGTGAAATAATAGGTACTGGGACAACTGCTGGAAAATAATGCTGTTGTGGTAAAGAATTCCCAGAGGTTGTAACCTCGAAAGAAATAGCTCGCGTATATGGGATAAGTGTGTCGTGAGAATTGCAAATTCAGTGCGTGCTTTCTTCTTTCTAGTGCTGTTTTTTATGAGCCATTTATGTGTTATCTTCATCTCGATTACGAGTGCTTCCCTGATAAGACGCTCTTAAGCATTGCATCACTCCTGGAGTGATATATGTGAGTAATAAAAAGTCACATGCGTTCTTGTCATAACCAGGTCTTTTGATACTGTTTAAATCATCATTTTTAAATACGGCAATAATAATTGTTCTGCTTCTCTTCCAACAACAATTGCTTAATTCAGAATTCGAATCATTTACTGATAACTTCTGTGGCATATCATCATTGGAAAGTGCCAGTTTCACTGATTCCTTCTCACACATCCACTGATTGCTTTCCGCTCTTGGAATATCGTCTAGAAGGTTCGCCAGTACAGTTCATATCTTCTGCTCGCTGTCCTACATCTTTCATATGAAGATCGATTTTGGTTAAATCTGGTTAACATCCACACCAATTAATCTTTGAATGACTCATATTAATTGAGATGAATCATGAAAATGGTTGTCGACTTTGCTTTTAATAATTACCCCCCTCCTCCCCCTCCCCCCATAGATCTTGTCTCGGTACTGCAACGGATTGGATTACACTCACTGTTTTCATTTTTTGTTTTGGATTCATCCTAAATATAATGTTTATTTTTAGTCCAATAACTTTATACATGCAAATAACTATTTCATTTAGCTGACCACATGCTTACATGCTTGGCTAGCATTTAGCTCTCGTCTCTGTGTTGAATCCTCACTTCTAGCTTACAGTAAACTGGAACTTACTTTTCGGATCAATTTGCAGTTGATATATTCTGTTCTTTCTAAAATGACCTGCACTTATCATCTGCACTTTGCTTGTTCTAAAATGATCTGCACTTAGCAAGTTGCCTGGCTTAATTGATGAAGATGAGGATCGGCCCAAAAGAATACGGTCTGTAGGAACGTCTCAAGATGAATGATAGATTTGATTTTTTTCCTTTTTTTTTGCTATAAAAAGTAAAAAGTTTTCCATTCTTCATCTGTTTTCCTCTATTTGAACGATACACTTCAATGCACACTTAGGCAGCCATAAAAAAGAGCAGTGCTGGGAACGAAGGATCTGGCTTAGCTGAAAAGGACACCCTGGAGTAGACAAAAGGCATATTAATTCTACTACTCCATTTATTAGATGCTCCCTTAATTAGATGCCTTTTTAAGGCATCCAAATGTTCAATATCCTCAAGGCCTTTGCAATTCTTAAGCCGATGAGTAAAATTCATTTCCTTCTTCATTTGAAATGGCATTTAAGTATAGATTGTTCTCCAGCTAGTCATGCCTCGTGTTTGCACGCTACCAGTCTATTAGCTACAATGGCATAGAGTAAAGATCCTGATTTTTAGTTCTTTCTCAAAAACACCCTTGGTTTTGACCAGCGACTTTTTTGTATCACAAACTGCAAATTAAAATTCGTTAAGTTGAGAAGCAAATTATTTACACGGTAGTATCTTTCATAGATTACAACACAAAAAGCTAACAAATGCATCCTATCTTGATTTAAATGCGATATTTGCTCGTCACCACAAATTTGCTGGGTAACGTAAAACGAATGACAGGTATACCATTTATTGTTCTCATAAAAAGGAATCAAGTCAGCATTTGTCTTCTCTATATCCTCCAATAATCTTCAGTTATTTTGTTGGAAAATTACTTTCAAAGAAACAGAAATCTGCTAGTTTCTCTTTTTCCATTTAATGTATTCAACGATTATGTCTTTTTTTACTTTATGCTTTTACAATGTTCCAATTATTAGTTAGCGCTGTTGAAAAAAAGTCTTGGATCAGCTTTTCTTACAGATATTTGGTATTTCTAAATTGGCAATTATCCGGGTTTAGTTCTTAGGTTGCTTCAGGAGAAAAAAGTGGATTTAAAAATGAACATATAATTAAATCTTGCTAGCCCGAACACTTTTTCAATGCATAGCTAATGTCTTCCATTTCATCGCACTTCTTTTTTCTGGAACTTTCAGTCTTTTTTCTTTGCTTTCCATTTTTCTCTCTTCCCTATTTTTTTCTAAATACTCTAATATCCACTCTGTTCTTTTTCCAATAATTTCTTCCACTATTCAAAAATTCCCGAAAATTTTAGGAAAGTGAAAAATTACACCTTCTAATGCGTGTTTAAATAACGATTACTTATTTTTCAATTTTTAATCTTTTTGAGTTTGTCAAGGGCGAGGAACACTGTAATTTTATCTGATAGCTACTATCACTTGAACATCCAAGTTTTATCTTTTGCTAGGTAATATAATTCCCGTCTTTCCTAAAGAAATGAGCGAGAACTTCCAGATAAGTCGAAGAAATGCAAGTAGAATGTCCAATCTTCATGACCGTGAAATATGAGGTTGCTGTCGACTGCTAACACTGCAAACGCCTTCAACATTCTTCGAATAGCTTGATTGGTTATTATTCAGTTCATTCCCAAACCCTTTTAAATTTTCCTTCAAATTCTTTCAAAAATAACTGAGACCTAAATGTGAAAATCAGATGTTCAATTGATTTGTTTCGAAGACGCATGAAACTTTCCTTCCTTTGAAATTGTTGGGATAGAAAGGATTAAGTGCAAAAATGAGCAGGTAGTGTGATACAATGGTAATTAATTGTGGTAATTGTCATCGGGAAAACCGGTTCACTCTAGCGGGAAGCTTCTGAACACACAAGATTGAGGATTTTTACGACCTTGAATAATGGGGTTATAAATCTCTCGTCAACTCATTCCTTATTTTAAAATTATTGTTAATAGAATATATTTATGTAATTTCACCGACGCATTTTGATTATGAAATGTTGATATGTGTTGCTGATAGGATTCAGTCAGTACGACAAAACATTATATTTATGCCTTTTCTCTTTCTAACACCAGAATGTTGCAATCTGATTTGATTCGTTCAATTCTGATTCAGTTAATCAGTTATAACTTGGTAGAGAAAACAGTGTAGAAGTCCGTCTATCAGATGTTCTTTTGTTCTTCTGCAGGACACTTTAATCTTCACAACCGTTTGGGACTAATTCCGGCGAAATCTCTTCCATTTCTTCTCTCGTCTCTTCTTGACTTAAATACGATTTCCTTCGTTTTTATGAAGAAACTGATCGACGGCAATGATGCATTTAATCAAAAATGTCTCCTACGCAATAAACAACGAGCTCAGAAGGACGCTTCCTCTTTGCTTCTTCCATGGTCACATAATTATCGTTCCTTTCTAGGCATTTGGTTACTTTTTTTCCAGATGTTTAAATTATTAGGATTACCGTTAGTACGAAGATGTAAGGATGCGTCGGCAATTTTAAAGTTATCGAAGGCTTGCGATAACTATTTGTATTCATAGCGTATAGTTTGACTGTTTGAATTAATCCAAGAGGGTATCTGGTCATGTCTGTTTCTTTTTGGCACCATGAGTACCTTAACAGAGCTTTGAAAAACCATCTTTAATTCAAGAGATTAAAGAAGATTCCATTGCTGGCGTAACCATTTTCTCCTAGCTGGTTTAAAAAAATTTCCTCTAGGAGGATGGTCAAAAAGAAAGTAACAAGACATTATCGTCCTTAAAACTTATGAGCTTTTTCCTCGAAAAGGCAACTATATACGTCTCTGTTTGCTATAACTTTTGTCAATCATAACACGACCATATAGTGGTTTTCAACATTTTTTTGGCCATGGGCTACTTTGGCATTTTATTTGTAACAGGGAGCACAAAGTTCAAAACAGCAAATTCCATTGATTCGAAGGTAAACTGTAATGAAAACTTTTAACTTATTACTTTATCAAACACTGATAAGGACAGTCTCCGCCTGTTTTCTACTCACACGCCGGTGCCTTCACGGATCACCGGTTGAAAACCACTGTAGTCATTGCATGCTGTCTGAACCGTTCCGCTCATCATCGGTCAGTTTCAGCTAGTTCACATCAAAATTGTCTGGTTGCTAAGAAGTCTATTTTTCATTTATCTATATTAGCTAAGTTTTTCCCATTTGGTTGGAAGATCACATGAAAATATGCAAGAATTTCTGAAATATCTATGTTTATTAAATTCAAATCAGCCAGAAATGTAGCAGGAGCATTGTGTAACGGAGCATTGTGTAACTCCAAAGATAGCGATTGCTAAGCGCTTGCTCTTATTTCTTCGATCCTCTTGAAGTTATTGGCTGCTGTACTGTGACATATGCACCAAACTTTATAAACAATTAAAAAACTCTCGCTTTGAGTATCGTAATGTCTTGTCTTCCGTAGACTAATTATATACTTTAAAAAATTTCCTTCCACACAGATTAATTCAAAACGTTTGCATTCGAAATCATTATTTGTTTCATGTGCTGCTTTAGAATCTTCAAATTAAACTATATGAATGAAATTGTGATTTGCCTGGTCTGGAAGTTGCTCTGTTTATAATCGCTCTAAATATTAGCAGTATTCTGAACAGAGCACTGATAATCTATAAATTATTATAGATGTTGCTTTTTTCATTCAATACGACAAACAAATACCACACTTAGCTTTTTCGTCGTAGGCACCAATAAGTAAATCCGATATTTATTTCTTAGCCCTCCGTTTGTTACTAATATGCTCCGTAAAAGATACCTAATATTCATTTGGTTCATCATTTGGCTGCTTTCCTCTTGGTGAGGAATTTCTTTAACTTCCCATGCCATACCTTTTTGTCGCTTCATGTTTGCTTTTTTGTATCCCACTCGATTATTATCTTCATGCTTTCATTGATGGTATAGTTATAGTTATCTTATAAGTGACTTCTGATCCCATCCAGTAAGAGAGGAAGTCGTCATTTGATGACAGTAGAGCTGTAAGAGAATATCCGCCCATTCTTCGGGCATGAACACATCTTGGAGTAGTAGAAATAAATGGGAAGCAAAACGAGAAGAATCAATAATCCTGAGGAAAATATAGTTCAATTTGTTCCCTGTTCAAAATTACCTTATTTATGAAAAGTCTATAAAAAGAGTGCATGCATTCTCGGGAGATCGGACTGAAAAGGAGAAGAGGAGTAAACACGTGCCGCATGCATTTGCACAATTAATTATGTTTTTTTACAAACAAAACAGAAAGTCATTAATTTTGGAACGGTTGAAAGAGTTGCCTTACGATCTCGTCGGAAAGTAATGTCAAAGTGGGATGAAATGGTTGCTCCTTTATAAGCCAAAAAATGAGTTGGTTGCTTGATGGCCTTGGCTTCTTGAAAAGAGTGACGAGGAGCAGTGAATCACCCCACACGTTCAGATTATTGAAGCCTTTTACTCCTCACAATCGTTCATTTCCACAGGTTTCTGTCTCTAAATGACATCATGCGTACTCTCAAATTTGACTCAGAAAAATTAGCCGAGGAGATATTAATCTGGATTACTTTTTCTAAACCGGAAACGGCAATACCTCTGTGATGCAAGCTCCTTTGTGCGGTTCAGTTTGTTTTTGCCGTTATTGAAAGCGATTAGTTAACAGTGCGTCAAATATTATCTTCAAATATTCAAGATTTTTTTTTCCCCATTCAAAGGTCATTTTTGTTATCACATGCAAAACAAAAGAAGCTCACAAATATGATTGACATTTTGTTTAAAATGCTGGGAATCTCCCTACTCTTACATAATTTGAAAGCACATCATAACTCTTGCTAATGATAATCGTCGTCTTCTCCTTCCGCTTTCAGATCCTTCGATCAGTGACTGATTTCTGATCATATTCATCACCACATTTATTTAATACAATTTATCAATAAGCTGTCATAGCTGGTTGGCATTATATCAATTCCATGTTGGCATTATTCCTAAGAGCCGTTCCGCTCAACATGTAAGTGCACGGGATTCAGTGATTCACTCTACGGTCTCTTATCATTCAAATTGTTATGGTGTGCCACGCTGCCATTAATTCATTTTAAAAACTAGAGTTTCTTGTATAGAAGTAATACCTTCAAAGGGCAGTTTGAGCAGCATCTTCAGGCGGTTATTCCGAGCCGTTACATAAGTCGAATCAACTATGTCTCTTGCTTAGTCATCAACGAATATTTATTTTGGGAATGGATGTAAATTATAAACGAGATCTGTATGTGTACACACCCTCATATCAACAATTAATGGAGTAAGACATTTGGAGATAGATAGAAAGGGAGTGGGTAGACCAAGCCTTCATTTAATCAAACCTCTTCCAATGAAATTCGAATCAGTAGACATTCTTCAATGAGCAAAGAGATAGATCAGTTGACACACTGACGAATAGAGGAAATTTTGGAAGACTGTCTCCGTCGGATGATTAGCTGACTGACTTCCCGTTGCTAAGCAAGCGGGTTTTCATCTGCCAGAGCTGAACATCACTAACTCTGGACTCGATCTCTTCTACCCACATTCGTCTGCTTAGTCTATCTATCACCTCTCCTGTCCCTTCCCATCCCACAGTGGATACTCACTGCAATCTTCAAAATGATGCCTCTTTCTCCTCCTTTTGCTGTTGCTGCTTTTACTGCTGCCTCTGCGGTCAGAGGTCGACTGGCCAAGCACAAATAGAAATGAAGTGTGCTTGAAATGGGAGGCAGGACAGCGACCCACTTTAGGAACTCAGTGGAAAAGAAATGGACGACGAAGCTGGACAGACATGTGGGATGCCACTGTCCGGTAAGAAGGGAAAAAGGATGGGGTGGGGTCCAATCTTGTAGTGGCAATGAGAATATGCGTTGTTTGGATGGGTTCGGTTTCCGTGGTGCAATTATCTTCGCCCTTCCCTTCGCCTCCTGTCGTCGCTGAGATGCTCTTACGGGTGGATGCCTCTTCATCGCAGTGGTATTGTTACGCTGGTGCATTGCAGGCTTCCGTCCATACTTATTCCAGTTCAAGCTGGAATTTGTCGGCGTTGGTAACATGCACCATGCAGCCAAAAGTGGTTGCTAGAGAAGTCAGAGAGGAGGTACCTTTAACCTGCAGTTCGTGGCTTTTTCCACCATACTACCGCTAAACCATCTTGCCTTTACTCCATCGATGGATGCATCGATGAGTCCAAAGATCTGACCTATCTGCCCTACTCTGTCTTGGCTTATTTAAAGCTTCAGACAGCATATCACGACGCTGCTCATTCTTTATGAAGCTGATACTCTTCAAAAGCTAATACTTCTGCCCTATTCCTATCCACCATACATTTACTTGAAGTGATATCATCATCATCCTTTTATTTGTATGGTTCTACCGCAACAGACAAACTGCGCATTAGCTCGCATTCCGCCTCTGTTCCATTCTTGACTTTTCTCTTCGCTTTTGCTTTGCAGCACTTTGAAATATTTCATTATCATTCCGCTACCAACCCTTCATGTTATGCCCACAATACCAACCGAACAGATGATGTAGTAGAAGAGAGTTGTCCCCGGGGAACAAGCAGGAGATCTCGTTACTCTTCATTACCATATAATGCTTAGAGGAAGGAAGTAAGCTGGCCAGAAGATGTCTTTATCATCATTGCATGCGAATTACCCGAGAGTGACACATCACCACACTCTCTTTCGTCCTATTACTGCTCCAACTCCCATGTCCCTCTTCCAGTATTCGTCTTCCTTTTCCTCCTTCCATTACCATCGCTGCCAGGTCATTGATGAGTCATCATCACGTCACCAGTTCTTCAGATCATTCTTCTATTGACTGTCCGTATCTTTCATCTCTTTGCAATTCGTATGGAAAGTCAAACTGCTGGTACTAGCCTAAAACTATCCCAGAAATCAATTAGAGTGGGTGTCGCTGTTACTGATCATTCTTATTGAACGTGGAAGTATTTTGGACATTCTGCTATCTTCCATTGATCTATTCTGATGTGGTAGTGATATGATACATACGGCTTGTGGACATCACAGCTCCTTATGCATCTTTGTCTCATGAATAAGAAATTATATTAAGAAATTATATTTAATTGGTGATCATCCATAATTACGCCTCCACCTCCTCACCCTTCGTTGGTTTATTGTAAGATGGAGGAAAAGTATCCTGATCCTTGAACAAGTGCTGGTTCCACTTAGGACTGCTTGCAGAAAGTTCGCGATTGCCACCGATGAATCATCGCAGTACTGTTTATGAGATTTACTGATATACGTTATCATTCTCCTGACCAATCACTGGCTGGATTATCGGTTGTGTAACGGAAAGGAGTTGCTTGCTTCCTTTTGTTTTGTACACCTATTCATGTCCATTTTATTTCTGATAGAGGAACAATTTGAGGATTAGTTTGTTTGGTATATTGGTAATTATTTTAATTTAGTGCTCAGTTAGAGCTTATTTTGCTTACATTAGCAACGTTAATGAGTGCAACGCGAATCGAATGATCTTGACAGTACTTTGGAATGGCAACCAAAATATTTGATATTGCGTTATGAGCTCCCCATGAGATTTCAGGATTTCTCGGTACTCTTATAGTACGTATTATCCATCGTCCTCCCGTAGATGTTATCGCTAAGACCGTGTTCATCTTTTTGTACGTCATCTACAATTGCTTTTCTGATTTTTATTTTTTATTTATTCGTTGTTCAGCATTTTATGGAATTTTCTATGTTTTATAACAGGCAGTATTTATTACTGTGAGCGATTTTTTGCAGGTTCTCTGCAGAGTTGAGGTCAAATACGAATAACTGCAGCAGCACAACACTTGGACTTAGGGAGGGAAGCTATGCAAAATTGGAAGGGATTTTTGCTTTTGTCAGGAATTTTATGAAGAAGGGGACTTCATGACGACGACATTAATTCTTGACTTGATTCTAAACAATCAGGAGACTCTCATAAATTCCTATAAATTGAGGGGTCTGTTTTGGAATGCAGCAGGATATTACACCAGGTGGCGATAAATGGTGCAGTCCTTTGTCTTTTAAGAACATTGCGTTCTCAGCTATGACATTCATAATATCCTCTTCTACTTCATAGATCGATTTTGTAAACTGGATTCAATTTTATTTCCCCACAACTTTCATTTCCATATTTTTTTGGGAAGAAAAAGGAACCAACAGTGTATGGCATTTCAGGAATGTTGCTTTACATTGTACAATGCTATGTAAACATATCCTTCCCACTGACCGATTAAATGATCAACATTTAGCCTTTGATTATGCGAGATAAATTCATTTGTGAGGACTTTTTCGAGTATCTATGCTCTATATAGTAGTAGTAGTAGTAGTAGTAGTAGTAGTAGTAGTAGTAGTAGTAGTAGTAGTAGTAGTAGTAGTAGTAG